GACGAGGGGAATTCGAACACTGGTTGTAGTGTTTGAATTGTTGGAAGAAATGGTTGCATGAGGATGTAGGAATGGTAAGTTTAACGAACAATTTCAAATATTGCCGCTTTAATTGAAAGTAAAGTTTATTTGAATTGCTTTCGTATGTATTTCTGACGGTTTTAGATTTACCTGCTTGATTTATATCTGCTACGCTTCATGTTGACAAGTCCCTCAAAATGGCGGCCAAACTTGGAGATTGCCGAAAATTAGGTAAGTTCACAGAGTTATAAAGTTTTTATTTTTTGCAGTTTTTTCCTGTAGTTACCTATTTTATGGCACCTACTTCCTAACTGTTTTAGTTGGATCAGTTAAGAACGCCTCACGTTTTCAAAAATTTACCTTGAATTTGATCTGTTTTGGCCTGTGTGGCTTAAGCGAACCGATAAGGTGTCATTCAAGTCTTCCTGCTTCTTTGATTGAAACGTGATGTTCACGAAAGTCGCCTCGATGGATAAGATAGAGTTAATATACATGGCTGTGGTATTTGCTTTTTGCTGAGTTCCGTAGGTTTTTTAAATCGTCCTCCAAAGTTGTCTTAAATTAAAGTCTTGAAAAGTGTCACGACAAGCCTTCGTTCGAGTGAAATTTAATTTCCGTAAAACTCTAAAAAATAAAGAGATTCGATCAAACGGATTGTGGTTTTAGTATAGGTACAAGAATGTCCTACAACACACAAGTAATGCGCAAAATCCGTGTCTCAAGGAAAATCGACCGGACCGCTCTTACAGAGACACTCTCTTTATAGAGCGTGTACGCTTGTTCAAGGATATACGGTAACAAAAGTTAGATTAAAGTGATGCCAATCATAATTCTTCTCTCAAGTCTCCTTTGAATTATGCAACTATTAAAGAAACACACTAAGCCTTAGCAGTAGAACATCTCATTTTCCATGAACGAAGGGTTGAAAGCTGCAACCCCATTTTTAAATCCCTACTTACGAGTATTTTCTTACCCCCAAACTCCCGTTCAAAGTTCAACCCATTATAAGAAATCCAGTCGTGAAACTGCAACCCCATCCATTGGCACGTCACCATCGGCCTCTTTCTAGGAAGTGACCCTCACCCCACCCCCCAGTTATTTTTCTTACGGGGAGCTTTTAGCGATTTCAGAAAAGTTGTGGAATACACTGTGAGAATCAAGGAAAACGGTGTTTTCATTCTTAAAGCTACTTCACAAAAATTTCGGTAATCGATGACCAGTTCAGCAATTTTTGATGGACTAGAAACAGGGTTGGAGCGATATGATTGAAAACCAAATACACAAAGACAAAAAAGAGAAAAAAATTACCTCCACTATAATCCAAGAAGCAAATCAAACTGAACAGAAAAAATACAGGAAAACAAAAAACCAAAACATAGAGCCTTTTATTTGCAAACTTTGGTTAATTTTTATTGACGTGATTTTAGAGCAAATCACAGCTTTTTCTCTTACTCTTACTGCATTACCTCCCATTATATTTAAACGGAAGCCGAGGAGTATTCATCAAGACCTGCCAGAGAAGAGAAAAATCAAACATAAGTGCTAATGAGGCTCACTCATAACCATCTACCGCCTATCATCAGTATGTATATTCTTTATCCTCTTCTCTATGTATTCTCAAGAACCTGAAGGAGAATTTGTATAACAATCAGGAGCTAAAAGTCTTATTTCTTATCTTTTTGCCACTCACCTTTATCCATCCATTGTTTATTCCATTACTGATATGGTCTTCGTTAACCGCGTATTCTACCGCGAGAGCGGCCACTGCGGCGACCGCTGTGACCAGGGGAAACGCGGCGACCGCGGCGACTGGGGGGAACGCAGCGACCGCGACGAAAGCGGCGAGCTCTACGAGGAATACGACGAAAGCGGTGAGCTGTACGACGACAAATGCGTCTGAGCAGTCTACTTCGGCGTTGGGGGTCAGCTGACTTTTCTACTGCCTCCATATCATCTTCGTCATCTTCGTCATTATCGAATGGTCCTTCGTCAACCTCCTCGTCATCGGTCGCCATATCGTTTTCTCTGAGTGCAGGAAAAGAGAAATGCCGAAGATAATCGTAAACGAACTAGTTCTTTAAATATTTATCCACTCATTTATTCATTTGTGATATTTAGACAGGCTGGCTCAGCTTACAGGCTGGTCTAAATGTTGACCTGTGCAGACAGTAACAAGACCAGACCACAAAACCTGGAACTACGTTTCCTACTCTTTGCGAGAAGTGCTTGGGGTTATTTAACGTGCTCTATTATCCAGTACAACGAAGACGTAGGAGACGGCGCCAACGGTTTATCGTCCTTATCCGAGAAGAAAATCTAACCATTTCCTCAACGTACCTTCTGGGGATTGCCATATCATTGTCCCTTAAGTCTTTCTCATCGAGGTCTTCATCGCTCTCTTTCACGTATTCTTCACTAAAAACATATAAAATGTGAAACGAAACCATTGCTGCTACGACGGAATTTATTCATTTTAGGAAAAAAACAAACGTTTTCAAAAGTCTAGCGAAAAAGCTAAAAATAAAATAAGCTAAACTGACCAGGTTAAACAGAGAATCGAGTTACACTAAGAGGAGAGCTAAAAATCTAACCATTTCCTCAACGTACCTTCTGGGGATTGTCATATCATTGTCCTCCAAGTTTTCCTCATCGAGGTCTTCATCGCTCTCTTTCACGTATTCTCCACTAAAAACATAAAATGTGAAACGAAACCATTGCTGCTACGACACAATTTAATCATTTTAGAAGAAAAACAGACATTTTCAAAAGTCTAATAAGAAAGCTAAAAATAAAATAAGCTAAATTGACCAGGTTAAACAGGGAATCGAGTAACACTAACAAAAAAGCTAAAAATTAAATAAGTTAAATTGACTAGGTTCTCACTTTTTCAATTGCAACATTTCAGAGTTGCCGATAAGTATGAAGTAGAGTCCTCTTACACAGAAATGATTCATTTATAAATTTGACTTCTGATTCATGATTTTGAACTAACACGCTTTAATAGAATAAGTTGTCCAAATATACTGAAGATCAAGTCACATTGCTTTCGAAGGACAGAGTGGACAACTAGAAAATGGAAAGGGCCTGGCTCTAATTTGCAGTTCCCGATGCTCGCTCAATGGAGTGTCATTGGAGGAACTGCCAGCTCTCGCCACAGTCTAATTTTCTCGTCTTCATCTCGGAGAAACAGGATGGACTCCTCATATTTGGCACCTTTGTAAACTCTATTTTGTTACTTAAGTCATCATTTATAGTTATTTTTCTTTATCCAACTTACCCTGGAAGTTTTTCTGCTACAAATTCATCTGCCATGTTGGCCAAGTCAATTTCAGTTACCGCCACTGAAAAGCCAACAGCGAGTACAAAGCAAAACAAAGCCAAGAAAACAGATATCTTCATTTTGACCTCTCCGTTGAAACTTGAGTTCTCAACTGTAGGAAGCCTCAAAGCTCACTGCTTTTATGCATCCCATTCAGGGTGATATTAAAATTCATTTTTCCTAATCACCGGCAATATTTTATCATGGAATGTAGACCCTTGAAACTCTGTGAAAATTGGAATAAAGAATATACTATTTACCCTTTAAGATAAAAATCTCAATGGACCTTCCTAAATGTCCGTCCGTCGTGTGATGATAGCATCAGATAAACCACATAGTTTGAGGATATTTACTAGTTTAAATTATTTCCAAAGCTTTTCTTTGATGTTTTATTTGAGTTCATTGTACTGATAGAAACAATTATACTTCAATTTAGATTCATTAGATTTCATCAAGACATATTTTGCCTATAACAGAGGCTTTAAAGATGATGTAAATCCTCGAAAATCTGTGAAACGAAAACACTTGTTCTCCTCATAAATAAAAATCTCAATGGCTCCAGTGGTAACGTTAACCTCGTTAAAAAATTCTCCTTACTCACTTACCTACATCTGAACAGCAAAGTCCTTCTCGTTCAGTTTTAAAGCTTTTCAAATGAAAACGCTGAA